TCAAGGGCATCTGGAAAAGGTTGCACGTGAAAGTCAATTCTTGATGACAGTATTTTTGTGCAGCGACTTACTACCTCCGTCCAAAATATAAGTATTTTTAGAAAATACAGATTTGCACTCGGGTTCATATGTACCTACAATCTACACCGTTGATGTGTTCCAAGATTCATGCTGCAAAATGTACCTAACCTTAACCAAATGAATATAGGGAGAAAAATATTAGGATTAGGTTGGTTCACAATATGTATAACATGTATGTTGCATTTTTTACCAAATAATTTTTTTCAATAACAATCATATATGACATTTATATATATAGTGCATTGTATTTCTCTAACCCTTATTTTGTTTATAACATGATATTTAGTCAAAATGAGAAAACAATATATCTACAATATCACCAAATTGTCATCTTGCAAAAATGATACTTCCAAAATGATATATATATCCTACCATCAAAAACTACAAAAACAAGGTAATTTATATAAACAAGGTAAACTACATAAACAAGTTTTACATACAAGAAATACAAAAATTACATAAACAAGGTATTTTACACTTGTAAAAAATATAGTATAACGTAAACATCATGCATCTTACATTTTGTTAGCACCTAATATACTTGCCTTAAGATTCGCACAAGCTACATATAGGGTGTAGATTGTGGGTACATGTGAACTCGCGTGTAAAAAATCCAACTCCTACGGAGGTAGTACCTCCCAATTTATCATACTCCCTCCATCCCAAAATATAAGTAACAACTACTCATAACATAAAGAACAAGAAAAAATTTAATCACCTTATTAATTAAATTACATCCATACATGCAAGCAATGTAATTGGGAGACTTAATGGTACATGAAATAAAATAAACCAAATTTAAAGGACCAAGAGATGATAATTAATGTATACATGTATACACGCCTTATATTATAATATAAGACATAGAGAAAAACTGATTGTGACTTATATTTGGATAGATGGAGTATCATCCTTGCTCTTCCTGGAATCGAGCTTAAAAGCCTGCTACACTTTAAGAACAAAAAAAAAAGTAATAAGGGATCAAAAAATTTTGCCTAACACCACCCTACATCTTGATAGACCGTGCAGACATATTTATGCAGAAGTACGTTGTCGTGTACTGCCTAGTAAATAAACACATCTTATCCACTACTATGTCAGTCCCAAAATACTTATCATTTTGAGTTTTTATTTGTAATCATTCGTTTTATTTAAAAAAATTATAAAATTATTATTTATTTTGTTTGTGATTTGTTTTGTTATCAAAAAGTACTTTAAGTATAACTTATCTTTTTTTATATTTATACTAATTTTTTAAATAAAACGAATGCTAAAACATTGCAAAGAAAAAATCACATTGACAACAAAACTGTGGGATGGAGGATACGTGCTGCTGGCTTCCTACAGACGCACTTAAAAGTGCCATCTGCTGTCTTGGTGTCCCACTGACTCTCAGAGAATCGGCCATTGAAGAGGAATAGCTCCTATCTATTGCCGCCTGTACTAATATGAATGGCGCTTGCTCCCGCAGCACCAAGGGCAAAACAGGAATTCTCGCTCTCGGTACCTGTGTAGCAATACGTACAAGGTACTACATGCTCTATGTTTAACACTGCCTGCCGTAGTACTAACAAGCCATCCACCATCATTCTTGTGACCCCTACATCACGAATCTCCGAGCATCTGACGGCAAGGATAGTGGGTACATATGTACCCGAGCTCAAATCTATGTGTGTGTGTGTGTGTGTGTGTGTGTATATATATATATATATATATATATATATATATATATATATATATATATATATATATATATATATATATATGTTTGTAGGGGTGATATACTGATATATCACATATAGATATATCTTGTTCTTTTTTGTTTCCAAATTTGTTGATAACATTTTAAATGCTATGAAAAACAATGGTATATCCTCTCGAGAGACAAATAGACTTCCTCCCCATATACACAAGGAATCAAGACATGAATTGTCAAAACTTTTTCTCCTTTTTGAGGCTATAATAAAGTTATAACCCACTAACTCCTAAAGTTTATAATGCAAAGATGCCACATCATTAGCCACTAACAATCATTATATTTAAACATCATGCAAAAATGCTATATCTATTAACTTATTAAAGAAATAGAAAAAAAAAAGGAGCCTCCACGTTCACTCTTACGGTCTAGAAATTCTTATATTAATCGGAGAAAAGAAAAACAGAGTCCATATAGAAATAAAATTTAGAAATAGTTGAAATTCGGAATTAAAAAATGAGGAATATTAGAAGAGGAGACTATAGTCCATATATAAATATAATTTAGAAATAACCAAAATTCAGAATTAAAAAATAAACATTATCAGAAGAAGAGTATAGAGTCCATATAAAAATACAATTAAGAAATAATAGAAAATTGGAATTAAAAATAAGGAATATTAGAAGTAGAGTATAGAGTATATATATAAATTTAAAACTAAGTAAAATTAGGAATAAACATAATAAAATTAAAAGTAGAGTTTAGATGTCCATATAAAAATACAATTTACAAATTACTAAAATTCGAAATTAAAAAAAACATGGGAAGAAGAGTCTTAATACAATATAGGAATTCAATTTAGAAGTAACTGAAATTCGAAATTAAAAATAAAAGAATATTGAAAGATGAGTTTAGAGTCCACGTAGAAATACAATTAGAAATAATAAAATTTCAGAATTAAAAATAAATAATATTAGAAGAAGAGCCTAGAGTCTATATAGAAATACAATTTATAGTTAACGAAAATTCGGAATTAAAAAAATAAGAAATATTGAAAGACGAGATTAGAGTCCATATAGGAATATAATTTAGAAATAACGGAAATTTGATATTAAAAATAATTAATAACTAACACATATATAAAATATAATATGAATTACACATTAGTAGTTTCATAAAGTTAGTACAAAATTTAAAATTATGTTGTCATTTTAATATATTTTAATAATAAATTGTGAAAACATATATGCTATTATATGAGAGAAAATATAATGATGCTAGCCGCGCAATCTGCGCGGGCCACCATGCTAGTTATCTATAATTTTATAATTGATTATACTATAAAGTTATAACCCATTAACTCCTAAAGCTTAACATGCAAAGATATCACATCATCATCCACTAATAATCATTACATTTAAACATCATGCAAACATGCTATATTATCTATAACTTTATAATTTATTATACTATAAAGTTATAACACATTAACTCCTAACGCTTAACATGCAAAGATACCACATCATCATCCACTAACAATTATTATATTTAAACATCATGTAAACATGCTATATTATTTATAATTTTATAGTTTATTAAATTTTTAGAGCTCTTGAAATGCAAGCATGTTAAATCATCATCCCACAAAATCCACAAAATATTTCAATATATATCTCCCTTATTTTTTTATAATATTCTATGTACATATATTTCATTCTCACTTAGTTAATGTTATTTCTTTCTTCTCTCATTAAGCTCTACCACATCAATTGTTTTTAGTGCTAAATGGTTAATCTATGGCCCAAATTATCTCTATCATTTTCTTTTCTCATTAAGCCATATCAACTCAATTATTTTTAGTTTTTAGATGATTAATATACGGTCCAAACTATCTCCCTATATTTATTCTCTCGTAAAATCATATCACCTTATTTTTACATTTAAATTATCATTCAATATACTATTTAAATTAAAATTATCATAAACAACGTTAACTTATGTAATCTTAGTTATCTAGCTATGTTACACATTATTTTTATTTATTGTTGTCATACTAAACTCCTGTAGCAACGCACAAGGTTTCACCTAGTGTGTTTAAATATATGCTCCCATCATTGTAAAATGTAAAGAATTTTGGTCGAATATGATACATAATAGTAATACGAATCTGATCTAAAATATAAGGGATTTTGATCAGCATTGTTTAGAAGGATAGTCGTCCTTCTGTTCCCTCCCCTCAAGTCCATGCATGCATGCATGCAGCGCAGAAGCACAACTCCCTTTGTGAAAATCAGAAAAACAAGAGGTTTGTTAACGAAATCCACGCTCTTACAGCGTATTCTGGTCGGACGGGCAAGTTGCAGTACGCAGGTATGAGTAGGACAAAATCTCTCTCGAAGGCAAATACTACATATATAGCTGAAGCCTTCCTTGAGTTTCCTTCATAAGGATTTGCAGAGATGCTCTTGTTCTACACATCACATTTGCGTCCCGCACTAAGAGCATCTCTAATAGAGACCATAGACTCAGTCCTAATCAATTTTCGAGGGTTAAGATATAAAAACTAGATTCAACACCGACCCTAGTACCCTACTAAAGCTCCCAAAGTGAGAAGACCCCCCGATCCTCCTCCCAAGCCCCTAGTCCTGGGGCTCCGAGTACGGCCCCCATCGACTTATTTTTCTAGCGTGAACCAAAATTTCACTTCGCGTGATCTAGTCTCACCCGCACGGCACTATGACCTGGATCTCCTCCGGCAATCGCCGTTGACTCCCCCCACCCACCTCCGCCAAGATCGCCCCAAAAAGGTGAGGTTTTTCCTACCTTTGTTGCAGTCGTCTACAGGGCCTCCGCTTGCACGCCTGGCCTCCGCCTGCATGCTGGTCGTTCACACGCTCGGCCATCGTCCACCTGGCCACACGCCGCCCGCCCGCCCACACGCTGGTCGCTGGTCGTTCTTATATAAATTTCAAATGCACAAACTGCACAAAGATTTTGCATAAAATAGTTTATTGAGGAAACTCTATTCATTCCTTAAGGGGATGTCCCTTCGTTTTTACACATTGCTTAAAAAGTTATAAAAAATTAGTAGGATCAATATGTGATATGTCACTCCACAAACATGTATGTTCAAATTTAACTTATACAATTAGGAAAAAAATTCATAGAAACGCGTAATTCGTGGTTAAATTTATTATTTTTGTTTTGAGTTGTACAAGTCGAATTTTAATTTACGTGTTTGTGAAAAGAATATATCTATCTTAGAATGTTTTTATTTTTTATGACATTTTAAACGTCATGCACAGTATGAGAGGATGCCCCTTCGAGGGGGGAAATAATTTACTTCCAGTTCATTGCTCAATTTCATCGGCAAGCAATCTCACTTTCAAAGAATGACAGTCACAAAAATATTGCTACTAGTAACAACCGCAATTACTGAGCAGCTGACAATACATACAGTTAATTAATCACAAAATACTACAAATAGAAGCATAAATATGCGGGGGTTAATATAACTAATTAACTTGTGGGATTAATTAATTGCTTTTCTATGGATTGGGAACCTATCCTCTAAGCACGAAAAACGGAACAATCCATTAGCACGTGATTAATTAAATATTAGCTAATTTTTTTAAAAAAATGGATCAATGTGATTTTTTTAAACAACTTTCGTATAAAAACTTTTTTAAAAAGCGCACCTTGAAAAACGTGCACGCGGAACACGAGAGAGATGAGTTGGGAAGACTGAACAAAGAACACAGCCCTAGTGATATTTGTGATCGATCACAATGGCACGTAGAACACCTCCCAGCGCAGTATGAGTATGACGACGGCCGGAGTGCAGGCTCCGATGGCGATGACCAGGTACGCCAGCCACCGCTCCGTGGGGAGGACGGTGAGGTAGACGGACGTCATGAGGGAGACGATCATGGCGAGGCAGGCGACGACGGTGAGGCGGTGTCCCCAGGTGAGCTGGTCGAGCTTGAACTTGACGGGGTCCCTCCACGCCCAGATGAAGCAGAAGACGACGACGATGGCGCTGCACATGGCGACGGTGTTGGACACCACGAAGATCTTGAACGGCGCCCTGTCGGCGTGGATGGCGAGCCCCGTGTTCTGGTTGTAGCCGCCGGGCATGGTGAATGTGGCGGCGAAGGTGACGGTGGCGATGAGGGTGGCCACGAGGGTGTAGGTGCCGACGCTGAGCTCGAAGTACTCGTCGTTGCTGCCGGAGCCCGGCCGCCGGCTGCGCAGCGACTGGTACGTCGCCACCGGCGGCAGCTGCTGGTTCTTGCACCGCCGCGACTCGTACTTCTTGAGCTTCTCCCAGAGGTAGACGACGTAGGCGTCCATCTCGCCGCCGGCGACGCGCTCCTCCACGAGGCTGCGCGCCGAGTGGCCTTCGCGGTTGAGGAGGCAGGGGTCGACGCGGGGGTCCCTGAGCAGCATCAGCGCCGACTTGATGCGGGCCATCTTCGCGGCGAGGTGGAGCGGCGTGTCGCCGGAGTTGTCGCCGCGGTTCACCACCTCGGCGGGGCGGACGCGGCCGAGGAGGCACCGGAGCGCGTCCACCTTGCCGCTCGACACCGCGACGTGCACGGCGTTCCGGCCCTCCCGGTCCAGCATCTCCGCCGCGTCGGGGCTGTGCCGGAGCAGCTCCGCCGCCGCTGCCGTCGAGCCGTAGTAGGCCGCGACGTGGAGCGCCGACTGCTGCCGCTCGTTGCGGCGGTGGGCGAGGTCGGGCTTGTGGTCGAGCAGCATCCGCACCATGCGCTTGTCGTTCTTCTGCGCCGCGAAGTGCAGCGCCGTGTTGCCGACGGCGTCCGTCAGGTCGATCAGCCCCGGCGCCGTCTTCATCAGCAATATCTCCACCACCCCTGCTCCACACACAAACACACTCAAATCTCTTCAAATTTGATTCAAATGCCTCAAAAATCTATTCACCTTTTTTTTTAAAAGTATCCATATACCCCTCTAAACTAACGATGGAAGACGGTGATCTAACACTTTAAAACTGGACTTTCAATCCCAAACTTTGTAATATCATTCATTATTTACCGCTAAGATAGTTTTGAAAATCGCAAGCTTAAACAATTACTCCCAGTATCCCATAATATAGCAACTAGCAATCTAGGATAGGATGTGACGTTTCATATAATGAATCTGGACAGGCCTCCTGACTGATTCATTAGACCATAAAACTAATTATCCGGTTCTAGGTTGCTAATATTAAAGGACGGAGGGAGTATGTAGTTTTTGAATAATTAATAAAACATATTTACATATCATCAATCATTGGTTATTAAATTTATACTTATATAATGATGTTATGTGTAAGAGCGTAAGCATGGTAAGAAAGCAAAGTTTAAGTGAAGGTTTGAACATATAAATGTTACTCCCTCCGTTTCATCATGTAGGTCATTCTAACATTTACCACATTCATATTGAGATATATGTCTAGATTCATTAACATTCAGGGGTTGGATGTGGAAAAAAAAATATTGAGTACTGGAATTCATCAAAAAGAGTACTCTTTGAATTAATTTGAGCAAAATTTCTTCTTACGGGTGTGGCCGCCGAGGACGGCCTGGTGGAGGGCGGTGCCGCTGACGTTGTCGGCGGTGACGAACTTCTCGGGGACCCATGGCTGGTCGAGGATCTTGTCGACGACGTCGGCGAGGCCCTCGCGGGCGGCGATGTGCAGCGGCGTCTGCATGTCCACGTTGGGCGTGTGCCCGCAGTTGGGCTCCGCCTCCAGCAGCCGCAGCGCCACCGCGCTCCGCCGCTGCTTCACCGCCTCGTGCAGCGGCGTGTTCCGTGTCTTGTTCATCATCATCAGTGGCTCCTCCTACATACATACATGACGTACATTTTTCGCATAAATATTATAGTCTTAAATCTTAATCCAAAATTGTATGGTCAAAATATACTTTATATTTCCCTACACGGAGGGAGAGTAACGTAATTATCAACTCGCAAAGCACTCGTAGGAGCAAGAATGTATTTATTTGAAAAGAATATACTTCATTCGTCTTGAAATATAAGGCTCTATAGCTCTGTAAAAAAGGGAATCGACATTTGTACAACTAAAATGACAAAATATATGGTATTACTAAATTCATTTTTTGAAAGAATTTTCACACCATGTTAATTTTATGGTTGTTTATATTTTTAAACAGATAAAAGTATATCACAATGAGTGATGTCTTTTAGTGATTACCAAAAGGTACTAACACACATTATAATGCTGAATTTGACAGCTCTCGATTTCTTACATATGAGATTTATAAAAAGTATCAAATTCTACATTGCAAAAAAATGGCAACTCTCTTGTCACAATTATATACCGGATGGTCGAATTTCTTATATTCAACCAGGGTTCAAAATTCTAAAACGAAATTTCTGAAACTTCGAGTCTATTGGACCCCACACCTAGAAAACTATTTGGCCTAAAATTTTCAGGTTATTTACAATTTTTTTTTGTGAATTTAGAAAATTTTATTTATATTTGACAAATCGTTGTGCAAATTTTAAATAGTGTCAAAACGAAATACCCGAAATTTCAGTTGTATCGGTACCCAACAGAAATAGCCTAACTGAAATAGTATCAAACCCTGTATTCAACCGGTGACGACGAATTAAAGCTAGAAGAAAGAAAACGGACGGATACCTCCGGCCAACAAGGCCCAGCCATGGTGATGAAGGTGATGAGCATGTCGGCGACGGCCATCTTGCCGGCCCTGGCGGCGAGGTGCAGCGGCGTGTCCCCCTGGTCGTTCCTGGCGACGAGGAGGTCGCCGTGCTCGGCGGCGGCGGCCTCGGCGAACGCGACGCGCCCGAGCCCGGCGGCGATGTGCAGCGCCGTGTTCCCCTGCGGCGTCGTCGAGTTGAGGATCTTGCCGCCGCCCTGCTCCTCCCCCAGCAGCGCCGCCAGGCTCGCCGTGTTCCCCTGCACCGCCGCCTTGTGCAGCCGTGGATCCATATATGCTTCTTATTTCCTCTACCTTCTACCTACCTTAGCTACCTAGCTAGAGCTAGCCTCTGTACAGTACAGTGATCACTCCTCTCTCTGAATGTCTGAATGTCTCGTGTATTCTTCTGTCAGTGTGTGTATGATGAGATCGATCATGGAGGTGATGGTGATGCAGCAATGGCGATGCTGATCGAGTAGTTGTAACTTGTATGTACTCCATGTACTATGTAGGAGTAGTGTGGATGGATTCTTTGCTTGTTTGTGGTGGGCTTGTGCAGTTGTGCCCTACCCTGCCATGGAAGCTAGGTTCATGGTGCTTTACTTGCTAAACCGAATGTGCTAAATGCTCCATTAGAAAATATATATGCAGTCTGATGTGCTCTGTCTCCAGCTCCTGCCACAGCATGCTTTACTGGCCGTCATGCATGTAGCACAAGGAATCAAAGCTTTAAGATGGATGTGGATATATATTACAATGTTTGATTACTCTAATTTCCTCCTGAAATTATAAAGCCATGCGATAGGTTTGGAGGCAGCTTTGCCAACCATATGATCCGCATTGGTGATGACGACAAAATCATTGAAGAATTAATTTTGATTTTTCAACTATCCATATAAAGAGGATACGAGATTGAGAGAGAAGTAAAATGCAATTAACTTAGTAGTAGTTGTTAACTGACTTCAGTTAGAGAGAATCACAACTTTGTCTCAAGGGTCAAGCGTCATGTGGACATGGCAACGACCTCTGCCTCGCTGGCCTTGACGCTTTGTGCATGACTTCATGTCGCTTTGTTGGTGGGTTAATTATGTGATTGTGCAAGAGTGGATAAGTGGGTTTTACGGGTTTTACTTTGTTGAGGTATAGGAAATCAATTAAATAGCCAACAAAATAACCAATTTATCAATGCATACGGCCACATCCTAATCTTTTTGCGAAACTTTTTGATATGCCGGTGCACACCCGGAACCCCTGGGTCTATCTTTGCTCGATGAGATCCCATGGACAGAAGAAAATACAAGAGAAGAGTCTTATATACAATATTATTTCCATGGTGTTGTTCATATAAATCGTTACAGTATCATACGGGGATTTACCCAACCATGCCGTCTTGATATTTCATGTGGTTGATTACCGTTTTCAGTAATTGACAACTAATTCAGTGATTCAAGTGGTTGAGTAAACCATTTTTCTACTAATAAAAATAGAAGGGTTTTTTCTTCCGTCGACAAGTAAATATAACACGGTACCATATGATCTAATACTAATACTAGTAGAAACTTGATATATCTATCGATAGGTAAGACAAATTTGTCTATCAATAGTGGATCTCAGCTCCTTTGGAACACAAGGTTTTGTTGAGTTTTTTTTTTAAAAAAAATCATCTAATTAAAGTTCACCCTTTTTAGAGGAGTCGAGGCCGGAACTTCTTGGTAACTCGTAATAGTAATTATAACACGATACCATATGTTCTAATACTAACAGTAGTAGGTACCTGTTATATGGATCAATAGATAACACAAATGAACACAACAAACGTGGATCTTGGTTCCTTTGGAACATAAGATTTTGTTCGTTTTTACAAAAATCCTCTAAAACCTATCCTTTCCAAAGGAGGCGAGCCCAAGGATTGCAACTAGAGATGGCAATGGTGAATTCACCGTCAGAGATCATGCCTGCGTCCCCGTCACCGCGGTGAAAATATTTCACCGTCCCCGCCCCCGTCAACCACGACGGAGCTATAATTTCTCCAGCCCCGATCACCACGCGGTGAATTTTTCTCCGTGGTGAACCCGTCCCCGGTTAAACAGCATATTCACAGCCATGGTCGGTAGATGGTGGCGGCGACAGCGGCTCCCGGTGGCGCAGCGACGACGGTTGCTGCAGGCGCGGCGACGACGGCTGCTGCAGGCTAGCGGCGCGTCAACGGCGGCTCCCGGTGAAGACGGCTGCAGGCGCCGCGCCGGCCCGGCGGCTCGTCGACGAAGGCGGCCGGCAACGGCGGCTTCAGTCTCCCGGCGAACGGCGGTGCGGCGAACGGTGGCTCCCGGGCTGCCGGCGGACTGGCGAATGGCGGCGGCGCGGCATGCGTGACTCGGGTGGAGGGCTGGAGGCTGCTGTGGATCTAGATGGGTGGAGGATTTGGCTTTGACCTGTTGACTTAGGGTTAGATTATATATATATGCCTACTAAATGGGCTTCAATATTATGGGCCAATACATCTAAAAAGTCTAGAATTCCTCCCTTGTACATTACAGTCGGGTCACCGTGGGGGCCGGGGACGGGGAATGGTTCACCGTCCCCGCCCCCGTCATCCCCGATGGTGAGAGGTTTTTAACCATTCTATTCCCCATGGTGAGTAGATATTAACCATCCCCGTCACCTAATAGGTGAATTCACCACGGGGAAACGGTGAACGGGTCCCCATTGCCATCTCTAATTGCAACTCCAGTTCAAAATTTTGGACCCCCGGGGGGGGCAAGTGATTATTTTGGCTAAAATTTTCGGTTTTTCTCGATTTTTTTAATTTGATCAAAATTTAGTCAAATTCAGTAAAATTAGGCTAAAATTTCAAAAAAATCTGTCCAAAAAGTGTTGAAAATCCTGAAATTTTCGGTAGAAACGAAATGAGCGAAATTTCGGACATACTAGCTTGCTAAGATACTATGCCACAAAAGTTATAAGGTTTATTATGGTTGAAACAGTGGTGTTTTAGCAAACTATGAATTCATTTGTATGGAACTCCAGTAACATACATACCCTCTTTTGAGCATTCCATAGAATTCCTTTCACACACATGTGCAGCTTGACTAGTAACGTGTACAACTCCGTATTAATTGCACACTGAACATTGTGGAATACTCCACTATATTTCATCAGGACAAAGGTGTGTATAATACTGTTTTGTTATCACAAAACAAAGAAAATTTAATACCTAATTAAAAAGTCCTATCTTGTTAATTTACATGATCTTTTGATTCCCATAAACACGTACGGATCATAACCCCCAAAATTATCCAAATTATCCCAAGAACAAAAGCTGCACAAACAAGATCAAATATATCACATCACAAATCCATAAATAATTAAAAACGAGCTGACAAATTCCCAGAAGCAATTTTTCCTTGCCAAAAAAAATCACTCCGACCATCATCAGCTCAGAGTGCAAGCAACGCTCCCATCAGCAGCAGCGCCGCCATCGTCGCCGCGGCGGCCGGGACGACGGCGGCGGCGGCGCCGCCGCTCGGCGACGAGCCCGGCGGCGGCGAGGTCCCCGGCGCGGAGCTCTTGATCGGGCACGCGTAGCCGCACTCCGCCGGGTCGACCACCCGGTAGACGCCCTTGCTGGTGAGCAGGTAGACGTCGCCGGCGTTGTCCTCGCCGAAGGAGAAGATGTAGCCCAGCGACGGCAGCGTGCTCCTCGCCGCGGCGGCGTCGCAGGGGATCGGCGACCTCCCGGAGCAGGCGAACGGCAGCGGCGTGACGTCGTACGCGCCGCTGCCCGGCGGCGACTCGAGGCCCGCCCAGGCGGACTGGGCGTAGAGGTCGGCGTAGAGGTAGCGGCCGGCGAGGCAGGGGTCGGTGCCGGAGCGGTAGACGTAGCCGCCGGTGATGGAGGCAGAGCCGACGTTGTTGTTGACGGCGCTGTGGGCGTAGCCCATCACCGGCGGGATGGCGTCGATGTCGGCGGCGGAGGTGTTGCCGCCGGGGCTCGCCAGCGGCAGGTACGCCGTCGTGCCCTCCAGCACCCGCCACCCGTAGTTCCCGCCCTTTATCACCAGGTCAACCTCCTCGTACGACGACTGTTTTCAAATTCCACACAAATTCATCAACTATATGGCAAATTTGGACCACCAAAACCATTTTGTTAAAATTAAAATGGACTAAATTAATCCCAGTGACATGGTATCGCTGGAGAAAAATACTACTCCCTCCGTCCTATAATATAGCAATCTAAAATTGGATGGGACATTTCATAGTACAACGAATCTGAACATGTATCTGGACCGGTTCTAGGTTGTTATATTATGGGACGGTGAGAGTATTAGAAGAGAGAGCAGTATAAAAAAAAGCTATCACTAGGTCAATCTCCTTGGTGTTGCCTATTTAAACTTACACAAAATCATCACAATTATATGGCAAATTTAGGGGGAAATACAAAACAATAATTTCTTAAAATGGACGAAATTAATCATGTTTGCTTAAATATACGAGACATGGTATCGCTGAAAAAGAATAGTACCAGTAGGGACCATCGTAAAAATCTTTGTACCGATATATGTCCTATTACTAATAGAGATCGCCGTAAAATTTGTCTTAAAGGAAGGGAATGTGGCACCTGTCCGACGTCGGCGCAGTAGAGGTCAGAGGGCTTGCCGGAGTCGAAGCTGCACCGCCACGGGTTCTTGAAGCCGAGGGCGAAAACCTCCGGCGCAAACTTGGAGTCAGTGGAGAAGGGGTTGTCCTTGGGGATGACATAGTTTCCCCAGCCTGCAGTGCTATTGCCAGCTGCAGAGTTTGTAACAGGAAGATCGGTCAATCATCTTGTCAGGGGTTGTTGCAACTCAATTTCAGAACTCACCAAAATATGAACAAATTTCTGAATTCAGGTACTATCCTGAACAGTGAATTAGTTGAAAGTTGCTTTTGGGGGCATTTGATTTGATTATGAACAAATTCCAGAGGAATAGAGCTAATTCACACACTATCCTTTTTTTTGAACTTAATTCACACACTATCCTGAACAGTTCTGAATAGGATTGCACCTGAAGCTCAATTCGTTTGAAATAAAATGAATTTTATTTTGTTCAAATGTTGCTTTTTTTTTGGGGGGGGGGGGGAGGGGAGGGGGGGCATTTGATTTGAATACGAACAAAGCTAATTGACAAACTATCCTGAACAATGTTACCTGTCAGGACTGGACCTTAAGTTCAATTCGCTGGGGGAAAAAAGAAATGAATTTTTAGTTGAAAGGTTGCTCTTTTTCTGGGCAATTTGATCGCAAAATGGGGGAGAATTTGGGATTACTTGGCAATGCGTTGACGTCGATGCGGATGATCTTGCCGAGCAGCGACTTCTTGTTCTGCGCGAAGTTCCACGGGTCGCCGACGCTGCCGCCGTCGCCCATCATCAAGTAGAGGTAGCCGTCGGCCTTGCTGAAGAGGATCTGCCCGCCGTGGTGCGTCGTGAACGGCAGCCCCATCGTCATGATCCTCCTCACCTCCGCCGGGTTCGCCGCCGTCGCCTGTGACATCAACCGCTATTGAGTTACATGCATCGACCAATTTAACCCAAATACCTAAGCTGATGAGAAAAGACGGACAATTCACTTCATATCCAAACACTTCCCCCTCAAATCTTAAGTCAGGATTCAAACTCGTGATGAGAAAAGACGGACAATTTACTTTATATTCAAACATTACCCCCTCAAGTCTCAAGTCAGGATTCGAACTCAAAACTTTTGGCTCTGATACTACTATTGAGTTGCATGCACTGACTAGTTAACCCAAAAGCTAAAGCTGATGAGGAAAAAATAACAATTCACTTTATATTCAAACACTTCCCTCTCAAGTCTTAAGTCGATATACGAATTCGAGAATTCTGGCTCTGATACCGTGTTGAGTTGAATGAACCGATCAATTTAAACAAAAAGATTAAGCTGATAAGGAAAGACGAACAAACCACCACCGCTGGCGAGCGAGAAGAGCTGGGTGTGCGTACCGTCGCCGGCGAGCCGGAGGAGGCGTTGGCGGTGTACTCGGCGATGACGGTCTGGAACTGGCACGGCTGGGCGCCATTGTCGGCGGTGAGCTTGGAAGGGTCGCAGCCGACGTCGGAGTTGCAGGCGCAGCGGCCGGAGCAGGAGGCGGACTGCGTCTTGTCGCAGCTGTAGGAGACGAAGAAGCGGCCGTTCTTGGCGAACTCCGGGTGGAACGCGAGGCCGAGGAGGCCGAACTCGTTGTCGAAGTGGACCTCGTCGGTGATGTCCAGGAACGGCGTCGCCGCGTCCACCTGCAGCGGCTTGCCGGAGCCCTGCGCCGGCACGGTGGCGACGAACACCTTGCCGGCCTGGTTGTTGAGGAACACGCGGTTCGAGCCGTCCGGGTGCGGCGCCATGTTCAGGTACGACCCGTTGCCGAGGCGCTCCAGGCACATGCCGCTCGCCGGCGGCGCGACGCGGCTCGCGTCGAACGCCGCGGACTCGCCGTCGAAGCACGGCGCGCCGCCGCCGCCCGGCGCGCCGCCCAGCGCGGTGCAGAAGTCGCCCGACGACTGCCACACGTCGGTCAGCGTCGGCGCCGCCGCGCCGCCGCGGGGCGGCTGGAACGGCGAGCCCGGGATGCGCACGGCCTTGCAGGTGTCCCACACCGTCGTGCAGTAGTCCGTCGCCGCCGCCGCCGCCGCCTTGCCGCCGCTGAGCCGGCTCGCGACGCCGGTGGAGTTGCACAGCCGCGGCACCGTCCGGGGGCTCGTCGTGACGGTGAACAGCTCGCCGGCGTACGGGTTGCATCTCTGCAGCAGCCGGCGACCTCATCAAACCAAGAAATCAAATCTCCATGGAAATTCCGGCGACCAAGCGAAGGAGTCATCATACCGCGCAGAGGATGGACTTGACGAGTTCGCCGCACGGCGTGCCGGAGATGTTCATGGCGGCGAACTGCCTCTGCACGGCGGCGTCGTCCGTCGAGTTGCAGCAGGCCGTGCCATTGTAGCCGCAGAAGGTGAGCGATCCGTTCACCGTCCTCGGGAACGCTGCTCCGCGGCCACCATGATCCAAACCATCAGTTGCAATTCACAATTCAATCACAAAGAAAGACAAATTGCAAGAACATCATACTTGAATCCATGCACAATTGCGCGCAATGGCCATCCCGGACGGCGAGGAGAAGCACGGCGGCGATGGCGAAGAGTAGTACCGCCCCGGTGGACGACGCCGACGGCGCCATGGTGGATTCAGGGAAGGAGAAGGTGTGAAGATGCTCAGAGGCAGAAATGGTGGACAACTAGTTTGCACTTATATACTAGTATATAAGTAGAAGGCAGCCATTGACCAATGCAAGATCAAGAAATTCAAGATTTGGTAGTAAAAGAAGGCAAACAAGTGGTAATTTTTGGGTAGAATTAAATTCTGATTTCTGAAAGTTCACGTGTTGGATGGTGACAACTTTCTGTACACATTATATATCATAAGATGAGCATTAGCATCTGGTCATGCACTCCAATTTGCAATTAATTAAACAAGGAAGTCGCATGGAGAGAGAGCAGACAAATGTGCTTGTTTGGATTGTGAAAGTGACAAGGTGAAATCGACAGCAAATTTGTCAACGGCCTATTTGAAGTATGGAGTTCAGAGAATTTGCTCACTGCAAATACCCAATGCCCCAATCAGCTGAATATTTTCACTCTTGAACCTGAAGATCCCAGATCCATCGGTTTCAGACTTTCAGTGAACTACAAACTACAATATTGTATTGTTTTTTTATGCCATCAGGAAATAAAGCATGCAGTAGCATCAAAGCTACATGTAACTTGTAAAATCTTCATGTCAGAGCAAGAAGGTAAAGTTGGTGTTACTCTTTACCATCTATTGTCATAACAACTAACAAGTGGTATTAGAGATTCAGAACATCTTGACAGTTTTTCTTTTCTCGAATATGCAGCAGAACTGCATATCATTGCATTAAGAAGGAACATCTTGGACAGTCAACTGGGACATGATAGTTCTTCAGTGGCCTTGTAAACCCTCTTCATCACTGTACTAATTGAACAACAAAGCTCCTGGATTTTCTTAAGGTTGGTTGTCAATTTACGACCAGATAGTTCAAAGCCTGTCTAAAGAGACTTACCTAATTGCAATTTCCTTTTTCATACAGGACCATTGACACAAGTGGGGATATATCAATAGATCATGAAGGTCCAAATGTAACAGAAAAAAATGATTAGACAGCAACAGTTGACCTTGGAAAGATATGAAAGCTTTGAGTCGTTGTAGTTTGGATTAATTAAAGGCACAGGAAGGTAGGTTACTTTGGATACTTGAAATTTGTGCTTCTTTTAAGGCCCCCAAGGGAAGATTTTTAGAAGAAAATTGTTTACATGAGGATACTGAAGTCAAAGAGAGTGAGCAAGTGGGTTTGTATTTTGACACTGGATAAGAGTACTCACATGGATCAATGGACTTATAAACAGTGGGAGATATCTCACACTGGTTAGGGGAAAACCCAGCTATGATCACTCAGTAGTAGTGGAGCTGAAGTTACTACTAATTATTAGTATCATATCTGACAGTGATTTTGGTCTCAAAAGTTACAAATGACAAAGTTATGCATGCTGCCTCTTCTGTCACCAAATCATCACTCCAAGCCTTTATGTGCCTATATGTAATATATTATGATATAGGGATAAATTTTATAACCTTTTTACAATGTTCAAATAACAATGCCTTTTGAGGGAAAAAACTGACCCTGGGTGGTAGGCAAGTCCAAAATAATTTTTAAGTGAATCTTTTGAGAGCTTCGAAAAGGTTAGATGAAACTTAAGGAAAATGATATGTGAAAGGATTTTTTTTCCCTACATGCAAAATTATACAAAAGGAGTTGACTATGGGCATATGGATTGATGTGCCCAGAACAATAAAGTTACTTGTTCTTAGGGTAACATTTTGTATAGCATTTAAATAAAGAAAATTACCTATGCAAAGCTAAATATGGAATATTTGACGGAAGCTATCAAGACAAGAAAAAATATCTCCATTTGACATTGAAGAAATGTCTACATTTGGGATACGACTGCACCAGGCAAATTTATCTACTCCTGTGCATAGCTGTCACCGATAGAATTTTGTATGTAACATGACTAATCCAACCTACAAAAAAGTTTAAGTTTGAGTTGAACATACGCGAAATGCAGAAATTTTAGTACAGAAAACCTCGTGTTATCTAGCATTCAACAAGAAAGACGAGTAGCAACATATTACATTATTCCTGAAACTTCAGCGAAACCTTTCTTGGAAAACATCACAAAATGAACTGGAAACTGAAGCAATTGTTTTCTTTAAAGAAAACATGGAACCAAAGTTATAGTTTTTATAAATGCCAACTGCTTAATGGCAACTCTTATCTATGATGCTGTTGTTCCATGTGCCAATAAGTGTATAACAATAACTTTGGAACAGGATATTGTATGGTTGACCTACAGGCTACAGGTTAAGTTCAGAGGAAAGATTGCAACCATATATGACTATAAGAGCTCAAGGTGTTCTTGTTTGATCCCTTGTATCATGCTAGGGAACCAAGGGAATATTGCTGTTACTCATGGGTTAGCTTAGGTCAAACGATTAAAATAATCCAACCTCATATTAAGTACACAATTGAAATGAGAACAATAAGTCAGTGTCAACTGAAGGCAAACCCATATCCAGTTCAGAATTCAGATTTCTCTTCTGGCATGAGAAGTCACTAATCAGAGAATAATTTATTTCGACAGTATCATGAACCCACAATTCAATTTATGCTCTGTTCAAATCAACTATGACATGTAGATCGCGTACCGTTTTATGATTTAATCAAGAAAATCATATGTTTTCTTAGAAATAATATGTGATACGTGACACAGAAACGGACAACAGTGACTGGGAATAAGTTTTTCTTTATCTTTCTGTCTTCTTTAATGGACGAATGAGCTGAAGCTGACTTTACAAGACATAATAAATTACTATGTTTAGATAAATGAGTGACAGATGTTTGTCCAGGAACTTCATGAAAAGAACAAGAGAGTTGACATATAAAAAAAATGTTTTTAGGGAAAATGGGGTTTTGGAATACTGAAGATGGTGAACTAGCATACTGTGAGCAATTGCACAAGTTATTAAGAAGATGTGAAATCTTAGCCAAGTATCAGTATGAAACAATTTATTTTTATGCAGGATCCAGGAAAAAATCACGCTTGCAAATGGGGCCATAATGTCTGAATTGGATCACTCATAATGCATAATATTATTAGTAGTATAAAAATCTGATTATCTGGATCATCTGTGCTTCAAGGATTCCTTTTCAAAACATGAAGACCACAAAGTGAAGAGCTACTACATGTCCACACGAATCCTGGAGTAGTCAGTTCCAGACAGGAAGAGATACAAGAACATACATACTGACACGTTTTCTAAGCAGAAACATTATTTTTGTTACAACTTTTAGAACCTGTAAGCAGAAGCATTCTTTATGATATCCCACATATAAACATTGATAAATCCAGTTAGAAATGTATGATAAATTCAGCTAGAAATGTATCCACAACAATACACTATTATTGCAACAAAAATTAGCTTGCACCAAGTTCACTCAGGCACCCACAGATATCACAATTTCATGACAGCTGTGGCATAAGCTAAGCTAAACAGTCATGCAGAATGTATACAAGGGGCTAAGCAAAGCTATTAGTCGTGTCACACACGACTGGTGGTTTAAATTTGAATATCTGCCAGGGCAACTCGTTGAACATACAACTGTGAAGATAGGCAATCATGCTCTATTGATTTGACTTGGTACAGTTGTGTTGCACAGCAACTGATATTTGATTATGAACGTTTCCCCATTTTCACAAAACTAGATCTGGAATATTGTTTTCTCATGGGGAAATGGACATGGTTTCTGAGTACATGAAAACCTACTCGTGAGCCCTAACGCAAAGAGGGCTCATGCTTAGTTCATGTCAACAACTGCAATTTGCAGTCAGACTAATTGAGCTACTCATCAAGAGCACCCAATTCCTTCATATCTTCCAAGAATGCCATGTAGGAATCATCAATGCTTTGTGGCTTGGATACTGAGGACGAAGGCCGGGGCTCAGATCTAATTGGAGCCACTGACGGTTTCAGGGCAGAAGATGATGTTGTTGCTGACTGTTGCACCTTTGGTTTTGGTTTGAGGAGAGCCGATTCTCTCTTAACTCGAACTGATGCAGGAACCTGTAAAAAACCAATGGTTTTTCAGTACAATGGTGCATCTAAAACTATGTAAATGGAACACAAAATATATGAATCAATTAGCTATAGCAATCTTAGACCAACTCAGCTGTTTAAAAGTTCGTGGCCAATTTGTTTATTTATGATGACATAAAGGGAAAGCAAATTTATGTAAGTGTTAAGAGAAAGCTTAATAGTGGGCTAGCCAACTATAAGCTCATGTGGAGGAAGGGGAACAAGAAAAATAGAAAGTGTGAGCTCTCATGAAAGAGCTAGACTTATACATGCTCCAAGGTAAATGCATTAATAACATAAGTGAGAGAAAAAGTGAGAAGAAGAAAAAAATAGAGAACCATATAGCTAATCTATAATACTACATGTTAGCTCTAATACTACTTTTAGATTGGCTTGTAGCTAGTAGTTAGCTCTACTATTAAACTTGCTCTAGAAGGATAGATAGCCATATTGAAATCAGTGGCAAGCATATAGTTTTGTGAGTTCTAGATTGTGGATCTGGATACTGTAAACTACAAGCAAGTCTACAATGAGAACCACATCCAATACATGAGGGAACTCTCTACGCAAAGAGATGGTGCAGAAATGTGGCATGCCAGCCCTGAGAGAACTGTCTAAAAGATCTCATCAGCTCGTTATATGGACAACAGGTGTTTGATAATTAAAAAAAATGTATTTAGAACTAATCCTTCAGTGTTCAAAGTAAGAAATATATATAAAAGATGTAGAGAAGCCTTTTATAGTTACTATCATAAGGATCAAACAGTGTCAAACACTTCCGATACTTTTCTAATTGTGCTTAATATTTTTTTAGAGAATAATCAAGCTTGATGTTAGTAAAGTTATCAACCAGAGTAAAGAGCACATACCATAGCTGTGAGCTCAGGAGTATGTTGTGCTAATGGTCTCTTTACAACTGTTGGGGCAGCTGACTTGACATATGATGGCTGCTGAGGTACATTTGGCCTTGGACCAAAGGCAGCAAAATCACCTGTTTGAATTGGGGGTCCTGGATAAAATGGAGGCGGAAGCATT